AAGCAACTCAAAAATAAAAGAAAAAAGCACTGCACTAAAAAGTTAAAGCACACATACACTTATTTTTATAAAAATCACACATAGTGAAGGCTTACATTTAGGTAAATTAATCTAAAATTTTTCTGTACTTAAATAGCCAGAATGAAATCCAAAATTAGAAGAAAAGAAATAATAAAGATCAGAGTAGAAGTAAATGAAATTGAGACAAAAAAAAAACAGAAAATCAATGAAATGAAAAGTTGGTTTTTTGAAAAGATAAATAAAATTGACAAACCTTTAGACGGACTAAGAGTAAATGAGAGAAGACCCCAAAAAAATAAATAAAATCAGAAATGAAAAAGAAGACACAATAATTGAGACCACAGAAATACAAAGAATCATTAGAAACTATGAACAGCTATATGCCAATAAATTGGAAAACCTGGAAAAAATAGATAAATTCCTAGATACATACAACCTACCAAAATTGAACCATGAAGAAATAGAAAACTTCAAAAAACCAACAGCTATTAAGGAGATAGAATCCTTAATAAGTCTTCCATAAAAAAAAAAAAAAGCCCAAGATGTGATGGCCTCACTGTTCGATTCATCCTATGAGGCCAGCGTTACCCTAATACCGAAACCAGACAAGAACACACAAAAAAAGAAAACCACAAGCCAATATTGCTGATGAACATAGATGCAAAAACTCTCAACAAAATACCAGCAAACTAAATTCAACAGCACCTTAAAATGATTGTTTACCATCAAGTGTGATTCATCCCGAGGAGGCAAGGATGTTTCAACATATACAATCAATAAATGTGACACATCATGTTAACAGAATCAAGATGAAAAAATATGATTATTTGAATAGATGCTGAAACATTAAATAAAATTCAACATCTCTTTATGACAAAAACCTTTAACAAACAGGGTATAGAATGAACATACCTCAAAATAATAAAGACCTTATTATGACAAACCCACAGCTATCACCATATTGAATGGGGAAAAAAGTGAAAAAATTCAATTGAAAAACTGAATTCCCCTAAGATCTGGAACAAGAAGAGATGCCCATTTTAACCACTTTCATTCAACATAATACTGGAAGTCCTGGCCAGAGCAACTAGACAAGAGAAAAAAATAAAGGGCATTCAAATAGGAAAGAAAGAAGTCAAACTTCTTCACAGATTACATTATCTTATACTAAGAAAAACTTAAAGACTCCACCAAAAAAAAACCATTAAAACTAATAAACAAATTTGGTAAAGTTGCAGGATATGAAATCAACATACAAAAACTAGTAGCATTTATGTTCACCAACGGTGAACAATGTGAAAAAAAAAAATCAAGAAAGCAATCCTATTTACAATGGTTACAAAGAAAGATGACAAAATACCTGGGAATCAACTTAATCAAAGAAGTGAAAAGTCTATACAAGGAAAACTATAAAACACTGATGAAAGAAATTGAAAAGGACACACAAAGAATGGAAAGATATTCCATGGTCATGGATTGGAAGAATTAGTATCATTACAATGACAATACTATCAAAAGCAATTTACAGATTCAGTGCAATCCCTATCAAAATGCCAATCTCATTCACAGAAATGAATCCTAAAACTGATATGGAACCACAAAAGACTCCAAATAGCCAAAGCAAGCCTGAGCAAAATGAACAAAGCTGGAGGCATCATACTACCTGACTTCAAATTATACTACAGAGGTATAATAACCAAATCAGCATGGTACTGGCATAAAAACAGACACATAGACCAATGGAACTCATTTTTGACCAAGGTGCCAAGAACATACACTAAGGAATAGACAGTCTCTTCAATAAATGGTGTTGGGAAAACTGAATATTCATATGCAGAAGAATGAAATTAGACCTCTACCTCTTGCCATAAACAAAAATCAAATCAAAATGAATTAATGACTTAAATTTAAGACCTCAAAATATGAAAATACTACAAATAAACATTGAGGAAAATCTCCAGGGCATTGGACTGGACAAAGACATTTTGTGTAAGACCTCAAAAGCACAAGCAACCAAAGCAAAAATAGACAAATTATATCAAGTTCAAAAGCTTCTGCACAGCAAAGAAAACAATCAATAACATGAAGCCAGGTATGGTGGCTCATACCTGTAATCCCAGCAGTTTGGGAGGCCAAGGCAGGCAGATCACTTGAGGCCAGGAGTTCAAGACCAGCCTGGCCAACATGGCAAAACTCCGTCTCTACTAAAAATACAAAAATTAGCCAGGGTTGGTGGCACACACACCTGTAATCCCAGCTACTTGGGAGGCTGAGGCAGGAGAATCATTTGAGCCCAGGAGGCAGAGGTTGTAGTGAGCAGAGATCACACCACTGCACTCCAGCCTGGGTGACAGATTAAGACTCTGCTTCAAAGAAAAAAAAGTGGAGACAATCCCACAGAATGGGAGAAAATATCTGCAAACTACCCATCTGACAAGGGATGAATAATCAGAAAATTTAAGGAGCTCAAATAATTCAATAGCAAAAATAAATCTAATTTAAAAATGGGCAAAAGCTTGGAGTAGACATTTCTCAAAAGAAGACATACAAATGGACAGTAAGTACATGAAAAAAATGCTCAACACTACTAATCATCAGAGAAATGCAAGTCAAAACCACAATAAGACATCATCTCACCCCAGTTTAAATGTCTGTTATCAAAAAGGGAATAACACATGCTGGTGAGGAGGTGGAGAAAGAGAAACCCTTGTATATAGTCAGTGGGGATGTAAATTAGTACAATCATTATGGAAAGCAGTATGGAGGTTCCTCAAAAAAAACTAAAAATAGAACTACCATATAATCCAGCACTTCAACTGCTGGGTACATATTTAAAAGGAAAAAAAAAATCAATATATCAAAGAAATATCTGCACTCCCATGTTTATTGTGACATTATTCACAATGGCCAAAACGTAGAATCAACTTAAGTGCCCAGCAATAACTGAATGGATAAAGAAAATATGGTATAAATACATAATGAAATATTATTTGGCCATAAAAAGAAAGTCATCTGCAGCAACCTGGAGAGAACTGAAGGACATTAAGTTAAATAAGCCAGGAACAGAAAGATGAATATTGCATGTTCTCACTCTTATGTGAGAGGTAAAAAGTGGATCTCATAAAGATCTCAAGAAGACTGATGGTTATTAGAGAACACGAAGGATAGGGGTCTGGGTGGGATAAAGAGAGATTGATTAATGAGTACAAATATACAATCTGATAGAAGAAATAAGACCTACTGTTTGATAGATCAGTAGGATAACTATTGTTTACAACAATCTATTATATATTTCTAAACAGCTAGAAAAGAATAATTCAAATGTTTCTAGCATAAAGACAAATACTTAAGGTGACAAATATCCTAATTATACTGACTTGATCTTTATAAATTATATGAATATATTAAATTATCACATGTACCCTGAAAATATGTACATCTATTATGTGCTAATAAAAAAATAAAATTATTTAAAAATAGACCAGATACAATGGCTCATGCCTGAAATCCCAATACTTTGGGAGGCCAAGGCAGGAGGATCACTTAATGCCAGGAGTCAGCCTAGGCAACATGGTAAAACCCTGTCTCTACAAAAAAAAAATTAAAAATTAGCTGGGCATAGTGGCACATGCCTGTAGTCTCAGTTACTTGTGAGGCTGAGGCAGGAGGATCACTTAAGCACAGAAGTTCGAGGCTGCAGTGAGCTATGATCATGCCACTTCACTTTGGCCTGGGTAACAAAGTGAGACCCCATGTCTACAGGAAAAAAAAATTATCAAAAAATGGCCAGAATTTTTTTTAAAAAGAGCAAAATAGGCCTTAAATACTTGGGAATTTTCTAATTATTCTTTGGATTCAAATGTCAATCTAAAGGTAACTTTACATAACAACACCTATATCAAGCAAAACCTGTATCTCAATCAAGTATGCCCTTGTTTATAACTAACACAAGTCCAAATTTGCTTTCAGGAATACTGTGAGTCAATAGGAGCTGGAAAGTCAAGAGACAGGGGTATTTTCTTTGCCCTACATCATCCAGTAAGTCTTTGGGTGGCTTTGAGCAAGTGACCAATCTTTTATGCCTTCCACGCCTGTAAATTGAGGGATATGGCCCACAGGTCTGGCCTTAACATTCTGTGAATTCTTTCTGATTTTTTTTTGAGATGGAGTCTCACTCTATCACCCAGGCTGGAGTGCAATGGCATGCTCTCAGCTCACCACAACAACCTCCGCCTCCCGGGTTCAAAAAATTCTCCTGCCTCAGCCTCCCAAGTAGCTGGGATTACAGGTGTGTACCACCATGCCAGGCTAATTTTGATATTTTTAAGTAGAGACCAGGTTTCACCATGTTGGTCAGGCTGGTCTCGAACCCCTAACATTGTGATCTGCCCGCCTCGGCGTCCCAAAGTGCTGGGATTACAGGTGTGAGCCACCGTGCCCGGCTTCTTCCTGATTGTCTTAACTTGGAGGGTCCCAGCCATATTTGTCAATTTAAACATAATTAAATGTTAACAGTTCATAGAACTTTGTGCTGAGTTTCAGAAACAAGCACATTCTAGAGAAAACAGCTCCTTGGTTTTTGAGAGAGAGAGTGTGTGTGTGTATGTGTGTATGTGTGTGTGTGTTTTTAGATGGAGTTTTGCTCTTATTGCCAGGCTGGAGTGCAAAGGCACAATCTCGGGTCACCACAACCTTCACCATCTCCCAGGTTCAAGTAATTCTCATACCTCAGCCTTCGGAGTAGCTGGGATTACAAGCATGTGCCACCATATCGGCTAATTTTTTGTATTTTTTGTAGAGACAGGGTTTCTCCATGTTGGTCAGGCTGGTCTCAAACTCCCAATCTCGGGTGATCTGCCAGACTTGGACTCCCAAAGTGCTGGGATTACAGGTGCGACCCACCACACCTGGCCGTTTTGTTTTTGTTTTTGTTTTTGTTTTTCCCTGACATGATTACTAAACCCCAGAACCCATCATACCTTTAGGAATAGGCTGAGAATGTTTTGCTCCTGGGTCCAATTTGAAGTCCAAATATAAGGTTGGTGTGCGAGTGTATACCTTGGACTGAAAAGGAAAAGGAAACCATCAGTGTTTTTTTCTAAGAATAAGGTTTTTCTTTCTTTCAGCTGGCCCTTCCATAATAGGCCTGGGCCTGGATCCATTATATTTATAGTTCCTCCTAGGGAAGCGTTAAAGTCAGGGTGGGCTGCTAAAACAGCCCCTCTTAAAGGTCTTGGTCTAGAAGTTAGCCCTCCTAGCTTTACAATGTGGCTGACAAACTCATTTCAGGATGACAGCTGTCTCCCTACAGTCATTTCTCAAATATGGTCTGATATTAACATTTACCGGCCAATAGTTGCTCCAAATTTCCCACTTCCAGTCTTCCACTTGATATGGTAGGTTATCTCACAACCAAATGTTTGCTTCTTCCCCGTGTCAAAAAAAAGTCATTTCCATTTTGAATTTTAAAATGTGGACTGCACATATTTTTTTATTTTTTCTTACTTGGACCTCTGGCTAACAAAAGTGGTCTGACACTGCTCACTTGAAAAAGCCACAACTCCAAATGTAAGAAAGGCAAACTTTGGCAGGATTTTCTATTGCAAACAGTAACTTTGATTCCATTAAGAGTTAAGCAGAGTTTCTAATTCAATATAATACCATCCTGAAACACTGGCATAGACTAAAATTCAAGGGATTAGAACTGTTGCTATAAACTTTATGATGTCTCACTGTTTATCACAAAGCTCCAGTAGTTCTAGTTTACTTTTTAAACTTAAAATGCACATGAAAATGTAAAAGTACATAACCTTAAACTTGGCAAGGACATGTAGTAGCTGGAATTTTCATACACTGCTGGTGGGACTATAACTTGGTATAAACACTTTGGGAAAGTGCTTGGCAGTATGTAGTACAGATTAATATACATACATAAGCTATGACCCAATATTCCAATTCATAGGTGTATACTTAACAGCCACCTAAAGACAGACACAAGAACCTTAATAGTGCCAGAATTGATAATAGCCCCAAACTGGAAATAGTCCAAATGTCTTTAATAATAGAATGGATAAGTGAATTTTAATATACAATGGAATACTATATAACAAGGAGAATGAATGAACTCAACTACACGCAACAACTCAGATGAATTTCATAAGCATAATATTGAGCAAATGAAGGTGGACATGAGAGATCGTACACCGTATGATTCCATTTCTACAAAGTTCAAAACAAGGAAAAATTAATTTATGGTGTCAGAAGTCTGAAAATTAGTTACCTTGGGAAGATTAGTAACTAGAAAGGTATTTTAAAGGGGCTTCTGGGGGCTGGTAATGTTCTGTTTCTTAACCTGGCTGCTGGTTTTACAGGTGTGTTTACTTGGTAAACATTCTCTGAACTGTATACTTGATCCATGTACTTCTCGGTGTATATATTATATTTTAATTAAAAGATTATATTCATGCATTTTTAGACAAAAAGAGAATCTAGAGCCCAGAATTATTTACTCTCCTTGATAAAGGTATAATTTTGTGGAGAATGATGCAAGCTCCACGAGAACATGAACATTTCCGCCTTTGTTACCACTAAATTTTCAGGGCCAACCCAATATGTCTGTCAAATAGTAGGTGTTCAATAAATATTTATTGAATGATGTTTCATAATGGAAAACTCCATGTGTAGTAATATAGTTATTGACAGTATATATGTATATATATATATGAAGATATATATGAATATATATACTGACAGTACATATATACATACACATATATATACTGTCAATAACTATATTACTACTCCATATACTGTTAATAACTGTATTACTATAAATGGGATTTTACATACATATATATATGATATTCATCAGTATCTTTGCTTACATGTAGCAAAATGCTTCTCTTCAGGACAGGTGAATTTGGTAAGGTCAAAGTATATGTCTATACATTAAATTCTGAAATAAAGAATTGTGAATAATGTTGACTGCCAAAAGAATTTTTTTCCCTTCCTCTGAATGTCTCCTATTGAAGCTTTGGGGTTTAAAATAGTCTGGGAGAGTTTTGCATGGTTTAGAAGGTCAAGCTGTATTAACCCAGCTTCAAAGACTAGAAAAGCCAATTCCCCTGTGCATACATAAATGAAACCAGAAAGACCTGTGACATCAAGTGCAACCTAAGGCCAAAGATTCACAATCAATCTGAAGAGCTTGAAACATACATAAAAGAACGGCAGCACACAAGGGACACAGGATCTGCTTCTCTAGGATCATTAGGTGTATAAGGCACCATCTGGAAAGGAACTGGTTTTGTCTGATGAGGACTTCTACAATTACCTCTAAAAAGATCAAGGGTAAACTTCATATCATATCAAATGACTCCTCTGTTCAGGCAATATTTTGCTGTCTTTCAGGGGGTGGGAGGCTAGGGAAGCAACAGCATGGGGTGGGGGATTGGGGAGGGACAGCATTAGAAGAAATACCTAATGTAGATGACGTGGCGATGGATACAGCAAACCGCTACCATAGCACATGTATACTTATGTAACAAACCTGCACGATCTGCACATGTACCCCAGAACTTAAAGTATAATAAATAAATAATTTTTTTAAAAAGATCCCTGTTTGGTTTAAGCATCTTTCTCAATCTCTGCCTCAGTGGCAGATGCAGTATCCCTTCCAACAGAGAAGAAATTCATCACAAAGAGATTCTTGGTTTAATTTTTGCTATCACTCTCCCAGAATGTGGCCATAAAAATAATCTTGAAATGGGAGTCAGGTGTCTTTCATGCTGTATTGCCTTTTCTTTTTTCTTTCTTTTCCTTCCTTTCTTTCTTCTCTTTTTTTAAAAATTTTTTTGCAGAGATGGGGTTTCGCCATGTTGCTCAGGCTGGTCTTGGCCTCCTGGACTCAAGCCATTTGCCTGCCTCGGCTTCCCAAAGTGCTGGGATTACAGGTGTGAGCCACTGTGCCCAGCTAGAGGTATTGCTTTTTCTGCTGACCAATGAAACACTTATCTTCTTCTGGGATAATTCACTCATCTGAAAATTTTGTGAGGGTAGTTGCTGATGTTTAAGTCTATTTCTGGTTCTGAAATTCTGATTCAGAAAACTAGTATTTTCCTCCACACTCTAATTTTTAAAATTCCCTTCCAATTTCTCAGACTAGAGCTAAAGAGAAGTAAGTATGTGGCTGGGGTGAGGGAGGGCAACTAGATCTGTGGGGAGTTGGTGGGAAAACTCTGGTTAACTTGTATTCTTGCCCTAAACCTCAATCATGAATCTGCCCTCTTGGCTGGCTCTCTTTCCTTCTTCCTTCTTGTCTCTTGCTTCTCAACCTCACATTCACATAGAATGTTCTATATTCATTTATGTATTCATCTTAAAAATTTTAAACAGAAACCAACGAGAGACTTTAATAAAGCTACAAAATATATTCCATTTTCTCACAGCATGAAAAAGTCTAAGAGGAAACTTACAATTCATTTTGCAGATGTTTTTCACAACATCTTTAACCTAAAACAGAATTCCAATTCTAGTATTCTTTTCATATTGGGAATTGGATCACTGAGGGTGTCAATATAACACGTCTTGAATAATAAACTGCCCCAAAGCCTCCAAAAACGAATGTATATTATTCTATTTAAAATAATCTATAATTAGATAAAACTCAATTTGGAAGATGTTCCTATGGTGTATGTGTAGGCGTACGTATGTATATATATACATATATAAAATTTTAAAAGCATGTGGGTTTTATTTTTTGATTTTGATCATCCATGGTAAGTCTATGGAAATAGCAAATGTTAATTTAACTCAAAGGTGATAATGCCCGCCTCAAATATACCTTGAGCAAACGTGGATTCAGTCTTTCCATGACACACACTGCTGATTTTCAACCATAAAGGAATCTTGCTGTTAGGCACATTATTTCTTGTGTTGTTTTGTTTATGTATAGTATTAAACTATTAATAGACACTCAAAATAGAATGATCATTTAACTAAATCATTCTTCTTTGGTAAAAATTAGCTATCAATGTATCTATTTCCACAACAGTCAAACAAATTTGTTCATTAGAAACTAAAAGAAAATACTCCCCTATAAATCTGTTGCAGCATGGACAGAGCTAATGTACTCAAATTCGATCAGTGAATTTGTTTTTTTTTTCCCTTTTTTTCTGTTTCAGTTCTGATTAACAATGACTGCACAGGTACTAAAATCCAAAACTCTTCCCCTTTCTTCTTTTTTTCCATTTCACAATTCTATGTTGAAAGTATTTAGGAAACTTTAAAGTTTTAGCCTACATTTCACAAGCCTAATGGCTTAAAATATTATGGTTCAAATATTATACAGAGAATACTTCTAGAAGGTAAGTAATTTAATTCTTCATAAGAGGTTAAGGGTAAATTTTGTCTAACCTACAACAGGGCTGCTACCAAATTCAGGTAAACCTTGTCTCTCTTTCCCTATAAATATGTCAGAGCCAAACCCATAATGAGTCTCAGACACCACTCCAATAATGGCCACAACACAACCAAGACAAAACAAGGTCTATAAAACCACTTCCTTCCAAATTCAAATTCCAACCACCTTCATCTTATGTCCTTCAAAGATTTCCCACTTACCCTGGCTTTTGGTAGGATATCCTTGTCAAGCTGGCTTCCTTCCTCTGCTTTTATTCATAAATGTGATTTTAATTAGGAGATGAAATCATTTCCACATGGAAACTATGTGGCTTTAAAACATCTCCTCTCCAAGAAAAAGAATGCAGCATGCTACGTTGCTATGCATGAGTGTGGCAAGGAAGTATCTTGAATTTTGCCACTGCTGCTTTCATAGATAACTGCTGCCTATTGATTCCCAAATTCTGCTACTTTTATCATCATCTTGACCCTCCCCAAAAGCAAGTGGCAGCAATGTAGTGTAAGGTGTCAGACCTATAATAAATGCTTTCACATATCTTTAGGGGAACTGTTTCAAAATCTCTTTATAATTTAGTTAATTTTCAGGAAATGCACTCAAATTGTCAATCTTACTGTAATATTTTGCTTAAGCAAATTACTCTAAC